CAACAACTTTTATGAAGACATTCATTTGCTGAATGAAGTAATCAACATCAAATACATCTGCAAAACCACTGGATTAAAAGTCATAGGGTTACATCTCAACCTTGCTAATATGCAGCAAGAGAAGAATTAAATTTACATTCTAGATTTGAGAAGGCAACTAAAGAAGACACATCAATAGGAATTCAATAACTAGTAACAATCAAAAATCAATCAAAATATACATTTTTTTTTGGAAGAGGTAAGGTAATTTTATTCAAAAAATGAGAACATACAACAGAGCTCAGGCCAAGATAAACAGCCTGAGAACAACACAAATTACAAGCTCCAACAGGACTGAGACCGAAATAAAAGAGGCAAATTCAGGTGTCTGAACTCCTCAGTAACAGACACCCAAGAAATCAGCTTGCCAATGCTCTCTGCACTAGCTCTTCAGGACTTTTAACTCTATTACAGAAAATTCTGTTGTTCCTTTCAGTCCAAATGGACCATAAGACTGTTTCATAAATATACAATGATCCACATTTCATAATGTCTTTCATGCTCCACATTTCATAATATTTAAAATATTATTTTACAACTCAACATTGTATGTTTCATAATTCTTAGAACCTTCCAGTGCCTATGCTTGGCCTGCCAAAAATTTAAGTTCATAATTGTGTTTATGTTGTATATGCTCTTAGACTTCAGAGGATGATATAAATTTACCCCCCCCCCCTCACTTGTAATTAAAGTTTCTTATTCTTAATAAATTTTTCCGTTACTACTGATCAAAAAAATAAATAAATTTTGCCGCTAGTGATAAAAAAAAATATCTTAGTGATTAATGACCTTTCTTTTATAAATATATAAAATTATGAAAAAGAAAGGAAGTCAATAACTTCCTCTACACAAAGACAATCTGTTACCAACAAGTTATCTTAGTGATTCTAGGCATATAAAATAAATGTAACATCAAGGCCTAGGAGGAAAAAGCTTCTAACCTTCTCCACAAGGTTGGAATGTGAAGAATTGCATTCTGTTTCAGTTAGTTAATGATCTCAAGCTTTACTTTTGAGCCATGGTTAATGATCACAAGCTTTACTTCAGTCCTGATGCATCACCTTCAAGCTTTACTTTCAAGACATGGTTACCTCCTCTCTCTTATATGAAAGAATATGGTGTTCATAATTGAACTTCTAGCAACTATTAAGCTTTTCTTTTCTCTTCTCTTCATAACTTGAACTTCTAGTGAACAAATTGCATTTGGCACTTCAAAAGAAATTCAAACATCCACCAACAATACCCCTATAGATTGTCTCCCAGCAAAAGAACTATACTGAAGTTTTACAAGGCTTTCTACCACTTAACTTTGCTACAACCCTTGCCCATTCTTCAATATCTTTGATTTTAGGACAAAAGTTGTTTAGATTTTTCCACAATGAATTTCCAAATTTCTGGACAGAATACTATGTTTGACTCTTCCAGTTCACCCAACAAAGTTCAGCATTGATGATTAATCACGCTATGATATCCGCACAGATCTGAATGATGCTTTATGTTTCATTGCTACTCCTTATAACTTAGCAAACCCCACCATATAGTTGGACAAGGCTTAGATGATGATGCTGATGAATATTCCTTATAACTCATGTCTAGCAAAATCCCATTTTTGTACTGGTAAAGAAATGAATAGGATAAATATAACAAAATAAAAGAGAAGTTTTCTTTTTCTATTTATTATATAGTTAATGGATAATTTTATTAAATTCAAGAAAGAAGGAAAAGGCCATAATACAGGCAAACAAACTAAAAACGAGATACACCATTAACCCTGCTCCTCAATAAAAGTCACAAATTTCTTCATCTATATCTGGGTGAGAGGAAACTACGTTCTTCCTTTCCAATGACTCAATAATTTCTTGTAAGTTACCAGTGCCATTACTCGAGGGATCTTGGGAGGGGTAGACTGAATACGGACCTAACCTTTGGCATTTCCTTTGCACAATGTGGTTGCTCTCAGACCCGAACTCACATTCTCAGACTTGTCAGCCCGAGATTTTCCTATTGTATCAAGGATTCAAGGAATGGCTCCTATTCTCTTGAAAGTTATACGAGCTGAAATAATTAATTACTAAAAGGTTTTACTGTAGTTTCACAATTAGAACAGCCACGAATTACCTTGATTCATTCCAATATGCAGCCACTTCAAATTTTGGAAGAACCAGAGTTGCATTCAACAAACAAGCAATACCAACTCCATCACAAAACTGCATTTATCATAATGCCGATAATTATAAAATATTTATAACAACAAAAGAAAAATTCAAAATTAATCCTTTCGCACTGAGATAAGTAACAATGACAAAATCTGCAGAAACGCGAAGGTTTGAGGAAAACCCACATCACGTCTCATCTGATTAAGCCCACCATAGAAATCCACTCTGATATATCCATTACTCTCCGCCGGTAGAGCTGCAGCATTTCAACAAAAACCAATGCAATTGTCTGCAATGAAGCCAGTTAAGAAGAATCCATGTTAAAAGAAAAATGGAAAAATAAACTACTCTAGCCCCAATGTAAACCCTGAGACCGTTGAGCTAACCGGTTATATCTTCTTCCAGCCACCATTTGCAAGGCCTCCATTCAAAGATTCTGCGAACACTCCATATATCTAGCTTCCCACTACGCAAAGTAGACCTGTTTCGTTATGTAAAAAAAAAAAATACATCAAAATCCAAGCCAGAAAATGCAGAAACTTGATGCAAACTAGAGAGATCGGCTTACACACCGTGGAGAAGAGAGGAGAGTAGAAGATCTGCTTCCGGTTACTGGTTCGACGGTTGACTCGTCGGCAGATGGAAAAGGAGAAGGAACTTCTATATGGGGTACTCCCGGTACTATCACACTTTAGAATACTACAGGTCTTGTACAACAGAGATGATACACGTTCAAACAATCTGGACCGTCCAATGCCTGGGAGGATTCATCAGATCAGACAGTCAGAGTCAATACACAAGAGTCAAGATCGCCCAATCCATTAGACTGGAGATTATTGGACGGCCGTGGTTTTCTGCGTCATTCATCAAGTTAGCCAGGCCAGGCCTCGCCGGGCTTCCGAGATAGATGATGCTACTGAGCCGAACTGGGACCAGCTTATCCTGTCCATTGGGCCGAGATAATATAGGCCTATATATGCTTAATTGTGGGATGGGCATTTTTCCTTATATACCCATGTACAAACGCTGGGGTGTCAGAATCAAGATTTGGGGAAATGCTCATCTGGTCAAAAGTTAAGCATTGTTTTTTTTTTCTAACATCAGGGGCGATTTAAGCCCCCATATGGGGACTATTTATTATTTTATTTTTAAGCACTTATTTGAATAAGTACTTATTTTTTCAGGTTAGGATCACATTGATAAACATTTATGCATTTTTGGGAAAAAAAAAAGGTCAAGTGTTTGTTCAGAAAGTAAGCCTGTGCCAAAATTTTTTTACTTATTTATAAGCGCTTTTTCAATGAGTGTTTTATTACATTTCTGGCCCATCTTAACCCACCACATAATTTTCAAAATACCTATACTACCCCCATTTGGAAGAAGCACAATTTAAAAAGCACTTATTTATCCAATAATCACTCCCAGATGGGGGCTAAATCAATGATGATGGGTACCCTACAATCCAAAGGCCATTGCTCATTGCAAGGTGTTGAAAACAAAACAAACAATTCATGGACGTTGCATACTTCTGAATAAAACAATTCATCAAATCTCAAAAGAAATAACATTTCTGAATTTCTGATACCAGATATTACAATTTGCATGCAATGCAGTAAAGGACCATCTCCTAGGTGTCTGTTATAAAATAATCAGATAATTAATTACATGTGACATGTGAGAGAATATGTGTTACCTAGCTAAGCTGGCTGCCCGCCTCGCCTCCCTCATTCCTTACGGTTATTCACTTATTTGCTTTTGTGAAGTGATGGGGCCTTTATTGAGGTCTCACCCCACGTCCCATTCCCATAGGCCTATAACCCCCAATTACTTGGCATGTATATAGTATACCGCACAGCATTCAATTCAAGGAGGAAATTGGCAATTTCGCAACCCATGGCCCATGCCGCTTGGCTTGGTGCAATCAATCCCAAGCAGTGCGTGCAAAAGTTGCGTTCCCACAAAGGCACAAGCACATGGAGGGCATCATGCTTCATTCTCTAACTTCTTGCATGCTAGAGAAGGTAGGCCAGACTTCCAGTTCCAGGTCTCCTTTTTTATGAATTATAAAGAATCGGGCCCATGAAAAAGGGGGAGCGCACCAAGACCCATTTCAAATCAAATCGACTAATTGAAACACGTTGAATTATTTTTTGTATGTGGATGAGGGCGGAACCTATAAGCTATACCAATGCCACTGGTATCTATTCTTTTGGATCAAAACCCTCATCAGTCGTCGGTAAAGGCCTCTTGATCAGAATCTTCAGATTGTGTAGAAATGGAAAGCAAGACCTTGAGTAATGCCCACGATATCAACAACTTACAGGATTAATAAATATGGTTATTAACCATAATAAGCCTCACCATTCAGAACGCACTTGGTTTCAGACTTTCTGTTCATTTCCTCCTCCTAATGAGATTAACACGGTACATTCGCATACCTCGCAAAAGTATTTTCCATGACTTATTTCTTGCAAAAGCTGAAACATGCATACTAGAAGAGCTGCAGCAGACCTTTAAACTGAGGCCCCTACCAAAAAAAAAAAAAAAATACTGCAAAGAAAAAATGGGGGCCGAAGGTTGGACAAACATCAAAAAGAGGAGTTCCCTCATAAAACATGGGCTTGAATCAAATTCTAACGTGGCCAAGTTGATTTCACTGCGCAAGGTTGAGCAGCTTGATTTGATACAAAGCCTAATGCATCACTCTGATTTTATAATTCAACTTTAGGGGGAACAGAGCTTGACTACTAGTTCCATAAATAGAACAATCAAATCAAAACCATGCATTTAAAAAAAATGAAAATATGCTAAATGAATGACAAAATATAATAAACTCGAATCTTGAATAGCCAAGGGATCTTGTTAGCACCTACCACAATATTATCACAGCTACCAAATTCTTCTTACTGCCACTCAAATGACCATCCTTTACTCAAAAATAGACAGTCGTAAATTGATCGCTAAAGCGCATTTTCTGAGTACCAGCACACCAAGGATAACAAACCAAACCTCACAAAGCATTCCCCTTCAGCTCTGCTCCTCACCGTCTCCAATTTCTCTCTCTTCAGCCGCAGCAGCCATCAAATCATCAAAGTTCTCCGTCTTTGCAAGCAATATCTCAATCTAAAACACCACAGCAATATCTAAATTACGGTTAGACAAACAAAACATTCATGCACAAGTGACTGGAACAACAATCAAACACTTGGGTGCTCCACCCCGGATAACACTGAGAATGAAGCATCCACCACGCAAATTCATCCTTCATGTCATCACGTGGCATTCTGTAACTTACCTTTGCTTTTTGGATGGGCCTTCCCCTGGATTCATCCTTCATATCAACTGTGGATGTTGTGATCTCTGCATATGTTTAGAACTCATAGTAAGCCAAATTCAACAATCCAGTATTTGCCTGTTAACACAGAAACTAGGAGGGTCAAAATCTCACTCTTTTCCACAGCCAATCCATTGTTTTTCAGGATCTCCGCAATGGTGACCACTGTTGCAATAGCTGCAGAAACACCAGAACATTCATTTAAATGATAAGAAATTAAAGCAGCATCACTGACAGCTTATTTTTGAAAAGGCACTTGAAGAATTCAAATAAAGTGTACATTTCAAAACGTACACTCTAATAGTTGGCAGTAAAGTCTACATTTTGAAAAGGCACTTGAAGAATTCAAAATATGCAAACTCTACCATAGCTTTGATTTTCACACGAGGACCAGATAAACATTCTAACCAAGGGTATATATCTATCTTTGATTTTCACACTGACTAATCAATGTTTTCCTCAAGAATGCCAAAAAACAATTTGAATTAAACTATCAAGTTAATGTTTGAAGTGCTAGTAGTCACCTTAGCAGATCTATCAGATACTAGAAAACTATACAAACACCCGTTAGTAATTGTAGTAGCAAACAGGTTTGTTAGGTCATGCACTATGAGATAATGCAAGTGGCAACTTGCATTCACCCAAAATACGGTCATTACCCAATGCTGGAACAGGCAATAATATGGGAGGGGTGGACTGTTTACATGCCCAACCTCCAGATATTATTATTTTAGCATGTAGTGGCCACTCTCAGACTTGAACCTGTATTCTCATGCTTGTCAGCCACTCATCCTGAGATTTTACCATCAGAACAAGCAATCGCCCCATAACCTGTATTTGCATGGCTTGCACAATAAAGTGTTTGAGATCCAGTCAAAGTCTAACTTAAAAAGTAGAACAGCTGCTAAGCCCCCCCCCAAACAGCAAGGGACAAACAAACAATGCCTAAAACCTAAATTACACATTTAATTAGGCCCTTAACTACTAGCGTAGACTTACTCTTAAAGACAATTTTGAATAGATCCCTTTCTCAATTCACAAAAGGGAAAACTAATGAACTTAGAATTAATAGTTCATTCCATCATGGAAATGCTGCAAATAAATGGTTCAATCATTCAACCAAAGTGGAACTTGAAATGAAATAGCTCTAAACTCGGTAAATCATGGAAATGCAGTCTAAATCGTGCTTCAATCTGCTACCTACAATCTGTTCCCACTTCTCTACCCACAGTACATTACAGCTGTGCATTGGGAATATCTCCCTTGTCATTCATGGGGAGATGTTCCCAATACACAGCAGTGGTGTTCTGTGGGTAGAGATGAGGGAACACTTTGTGGATAGAAGATTCGGAGTGGTCTTAATTACCTAAAGTTTTCCTTTTCATAAAAAAAAAATAAAAAAGGAAAAAACTCCTATAATTCTTTCCTTTCCCTGAAAAAAAGTGCAATAATTATCAAGGCTAGAATGCAAAGAACACATTGTGGGTACAAGATTCAGAGTGGTCTTAATCGCCTAAATTTTCCTTTCATAAAAAAAAATCTCCTATAATTCTTTTCTTTCCCTGAAAAAAAGTGCAATAATTATCAAGACTAGAATGCAAAGAACAACATGGGTATCCTCAAAGCCAACATGATCACTCTACCTGATCAACCACCTTCCACTGGTAAGAATAGAATCAAAATTATTATTTACCTAAAAGCTTAAAGACAAGCAGAGATGTTTGTTCAATCATTCTGGTATATACAAAGCGGGGATGTTTGTTAAAAACATTCTGGTATATACAAAAGATTAACAACCCATTCAGAAGAAAAGCAAAAACAACCAATTCAAAAGAATGCATGATTAGCAAGATGCCTTTTGTTGTCCTGCTGATTAGAAGGGATATCAAATTTGACTAAAAATATAGTAACTTCTAGTTTATTCCATGTACAAGGAAGTGAGGAGTAAATTACTGAAAAGAAAATCAGAGGCAGGTTTCGATGAAATCACTTGCGGGCTAGTTCAATTGATGAATAGTTGGTAGCAACCACATGTGTAGAAATAGCAGTCAGCTTTGCAAGATATATCATCCAAAAGATAAAGTTCCATGAGCAACGACAGATAGAACACTAGTTCAACTGACACAGATGGAGAAATAGGAGTTACATGTGGAGAAAGAACAAGCAGTTCAACATCTACACCTTGTCTCAAGTCCCAACTATATGGGGTCAGCTACATGAATCCAGTTTCACCATGCCATTCTGTTCAGTGCCATAATCCATAGACATTGTTAAATTATGGATACCTAATCATTTCTTATTACTTCATCCAAGTGCTTTTCAGTCTACCTCTAGCTCTTATAGCCCCCTCAACTTGTAACAGATTGCTTTTTCTAGCAAGTGCTGTAGATGGTCTTATATACATGCAACCAAACCATTTCAATTTATTTTCTCTCAGTTCATATATTGGCGATACTTCTAGATTCCTTCATATAATTTCATTTCTAATCCTGTTCTTTATGGTTTTACTTTTACCACTCATACACCTAGGCATTCACATTTCCGCCACATTCCGTTCTCGGATATGTTGTCTCTTAACCACACAACACTCTGTTCCATACAACATAGCTGGACTTACAACTGTTTCATAGAACTTTCCATTTAACCAAAGTGGTATTTGCCTATTACATAAGATTCCAAATGCACCCATCCATTTTGTTCATCCTACTCTAATTCAAATATTCAATGGGCAACACCCTCCTCAATCTCTACAATGAGTTATCTCTTCATCTTCAAACCTAACTTTACTCTGATTTGTGCTCCTATTATTATTAAATTGGCATTGCATATATTTTGGTTTAATTTTACTTATTTAAAACCTCTTGTTTCTATTGCAAAATTGTCCATAAACCTAATCTGCATGTAATCCTTCACCAGTTTCATCAATTAATACTATGTCATTAGCAAAGATCAGGCACCATGGGACCACCTCTTGAATATGTTTACCTTGGTGAAGACCCATTGTAACAAAAAAATCTGACATCTCTCCAACAGGTTTTCTAATATTGATTATATTTTGATCTTCATTCCACCACCCAAGTTTCTTTACCACTTTTCCATTTTCCTTTAGATTCTTCTAAAATGTCTTTTTACTACTTTTTTACACAGCCGGCCATTCCAAGCCACATATCACATCCCTTCATCTAAATTCCATTTTCCTTTTGCTTCCAATATGTCTCTAAATTGTACTAGCTTTTCTCCTTTAGAGAGAGCAAGCATCTATGCAAGAAAATAAACCAAAAAGATACAAGAAATGGTTCCAATAGTATTAAGAGACAAAAGGCCAGAAACCCATTAAACAATAAACTCATGCAACAACGGCTAATTCTTAATGAATTCTTCCATACAAGAACTCAATGAGCTTAGCAGAAGAAAAAAGTGACCTGAATTTATTGGCTAGCAGGTTAACGGTGGAATAAAGTTTGGAGTCTTTGGACAATGGCTTTCAAGTTAGAATCCACTTTAGGTCAAAATAAGCAGATCCATTAATTTAAAATAAACTTGAAGCTCAAGTGAGCTACAACAGGATCAAAGAAAATATACATCAAACCATCCAAAAGATGAATAATCTGTGACCCTAAGGCATGCACAACCTACAAATATCGGAGCGAGGGGTCAAAGAATATAAATGAATCAAATAGAAGATGTATAATATCGAAAGAGAAAGTGGTTATACCCATTCCTAGAGCAGAAAGCTCCACCTCATTGTGTTGCTGCATGTACCTCTGCAACGAAAATCCGAGATAAACCACAATGATTAAATTAGCACAAATAGTAAATCCCGACAAAGATGCTCGTCCTAAACGGTGTTGGAGGTGACACTTCGTTCTTTTCAGATTTATTATAATTTCTAGCAGTTCCATGTTTGAACACTGAAACCCCTAAGTCGAGGCAAAAGGAATGCCTGTAAGATGCAACTCAAGGCTAAGAAAAAAACAAAAGAAGAATATAAAATCGAAGGAAAATGCCAACACCATTGTTCGTAAACAAGGAGATAAATAGAAAGAATAAATGCAAGTACGTAACTCTCCAAATAAATGCAAGTATGCAACTCTCAAAACCCAAAACCCTTTTGCTCCCTAAAACCAAAATGTAACACACTACACGTAACTTTCTAAGCTAGCTTGCAGGCCAAACAAAAAAAAAGAAATAAGAAATCAGAAACAGTGACAACCCATTAACAGGTTAACATACGGAAGGAAGCCCTAGAAAGTTTTGAAATGAAAATAAAACAAATAACGGAATCAAACTGGGATCAGATCTTTTTTTACCTTTGCAAGATTGACATAGAAAAAGAGCGGCTTCTTCGTATTGGAGACTTGAATACGATTCTTCTTGTGCGAATCGATGATGGCGATGTTGTTAACTCCCTCCGTAATCTCCTCCATGACAAAGAATGGAAAGAACTGAAAACCCTAACCCACTTATTTTTCAGGTAGAACAAATAAAACAGAGAAGAGAAGAAATGGCTAGACAACAGACAAGTACAGTCGTTTAGCGAAAACCCCTATCATCCCGCTGCTGCGCTTAAATAGCGGGAAATTCTCTCTCTCTCTTATGGGCCGGGCCCAGATATTAAGCCTGGGCCCGGGTCGGGCCATGGCCAGGCCCCCTAAACAAAAAATCTAGCCCAAGTCCAGATTTATTTAGTAGAAGTTGTTTCTTAACCATCTTTCCTTGTCTTAGGGGCTGTTTGGCATCATTGCCGTTTCCTGGAGCAACGGCACCACATCAGCGTTACATCAAAAAAAATGGTGCTTCAAGCCACGCTTTGGAAATCAGGAAGCCATGGCTTGGAGCAAAAATTTGGCGTTTCCTGGAGCTAAAACTCGTTGCTGCCAACAGGGCAGTGATGTGGCACTGATGTGGCACTAGATAATGGGTACCAATGCTGAAAACGTTTCTTGGAGCAATTGTACCAAACAGAAAAAGTTGTTGTTGCTTCAAAAAACGTCCTACTTGATAGCAATGATTCCAAACAAAAATAAAGGCACCGTTATGATTCTTCAAGCTATACATCAGCAGCACATTGCAACTGCAACATCGATGCCAAACATATATTTATATTATATTAGATGTTAATTTTTATTTAAGTCCTTCATTAGTTGCTAGGTTTTCAATAACTAGTATCATAATTTACGGTTACGTTTAGGGACCTAGCGGCCCAACTTAGCCCATCCTGAACTAGACTGCTTAGCCCAATGCTTCACCACAAAGATTCATCCCCATCTTTTAGTATATAGAATTCGTATTCCAAAAACTCATAGCCAGTCAATTGGTATCATAAAAGAGAAGTGGTATTAATCATGGTTTTCAAAACTGGACCGGATTGGATGGAAACCGGTCACCTGATCCGTTCTGTTTTCCCCCAAAATCATTGATTTTGGTCAACAAACTGCTAAACCGACCGATTAACCATTCAAACTGTTTAAATGGTTTTGACCATTTTTCGATTTTTAAATTTTTTAATTTTTTTTTTTATTTTTTGTCAAAACAGGTTGTTTGTTTAAGTCAAACGGTCGGACCATTCAAAACGGTAACCGGACCCCTGACCAATTCAGTTTTAAAAACCATGATATTATTCAAAATTCACAGGGTGCTTTGATTGGTCAAAACTCTTCTGATACTATGTCTTTATGTTATCATAAATTTTCCTTAGTATATATTAAAACAAAGAAGCCATGTCACATGGCCCCTCATTATCATAGTCCATAGATTATCCCTATTGTTAGGCTCATATTCATGACTAGGGGTGGATCGAGCTGAGCTAAGCCGAATAATATAAGGCTCAAGCTTGAATTCAGTTCGGCTCGAGCTCGACTTGAAAAAAAAAATATTTTATAAAAATAAAAAATTATATATAAAAATATTTTTTATTTGATATTTAAAAAATTAAGAATTATAATAATTAATTATTATTATTATATATAAAAATAAAATATTATATGTATTATTTTCTATAATTTTATATTATATATATATATATATATATGTAACTACTCGAACTCATTCGTGGCCACCCTCTTACTCATGACTATTGGTAAAGGCTTAATTTCATTTACATTTTTTATATTTTATTAGCCCTACACCACAATTATAGATTCTCCGGGCAGACATATATAGTTGTTATGTTGGAAGTTAATGTAGAGATTATGTATAATAAGCTTGCATGTATGGTTATGTCGTGTAAAATATGTATTGTATCTTATTTATTCTTTTTCTTTTATTTTATTTTTTTTGTTTCTTATGAAGGGCAAATTTGTCCTTTCATCTCATTGTATCCTTTTAGTAGAAGTAATATTCTTTCTTGTGTATGTGTGTATACGAGAACACACCCATTATTCAACCCTAAATTTGTCTCTCTCCTATTGGTATGACATGGTATCATAGCAGTCTTTCTGACCTATTTTTAATCTAGGTTTTATTCATGGGATTCAAATGAAGATTGAAGGACTTCAGATCAACTTTTTTGCTCTCCTCTACAAGTTTTCTGGGTGTTGCTTCGATCAGCACAAGTTCTCGTTTTTACTCCGAAATCGCAAGTTAGAACTACGTTTCTCTTGTTTTTCTCAATAAGACCATTGGATCTTGCTAGGTTGCTAGATTCTGTGTCGCTCTAGCCTTCTTTTTCAGTCTACCGAATCAAATATTGGATTCAATCTACTGTTGATGGGTTTTAATCCCTCTGTTCTTGTTAATAGTGTTGAAAGTTACCTGTTTTGGATTGTTAGTCCTTGTTCCTAGTTATTTGAAGTTACTCTCTTGGATAAGTTTTCTCTTTGGAGGTTTTTACATCAACCTCTTGTTGTTTATTACTTGTTGAACCTATTCTTGGTGTTTGTTTTGGGTGTGATGGCTTCAAGTAGAAGAAAATTTTCTTTTGTTAGTCCTTGTTCCCATGTGGAACTTTCGTTTTTAGTTTTTTGTTGAAGGACAAAGGTTGTTTGTTTATATTGATGGTTCAACACCCAAACTAGATTTGAGGTGATTAGGTCAAATGTTTTGAGAGGGGGCCTACACCTAATCTGGATTCTTTTTTGAGGGAGATCCTTGGAAAAGAAACAAAAGAATGGTTATTCGGTCTAACATAGATGGGAAACATGACACTAGCGTTAAAGATGTAGCAATTGGTCACCTTGTTTCCTACTACAAAAAGATGAATACATGCACTTACTGCAAACAATATGGACACATTATCACCGAGTGTCTCACTTGGCCACCTTAGGGACATATATCAACCCTAAAGAAAAATCAACACAAAAAATATCAGTCTATTGTTGAGGGTCCAGATGATGCACATATTTCTTCCTAGCCTTTAGCTAAGGTTATGTTTGGTTTGAAGGAAAAACTAAGGAAAGGAAAGGAAAGGTAAGGTAGGGAAACCTTTACAAACCTTGTATGGTTTTCCTTACCTTTCCTTTCCTTTTCCTTCAAACCAAACATAACCTAAGGGAAAGCCCTATGGTGTTCTAATGGAGGAAAAGATGTAGCAATTCATATTCAATGCAATTTCTTTTACATTTTTAGCCATTGGTTTGTTTGATAAGTCACCACCTCACTGTTCCCAACCCTAACCACCTTTGGATAATTTATTCAAGTGCCTCTAATCACAAGGGCATATTTTGGTTAGTCTTTCAAACTTTCATCTTTTACTTAATATATTGTAACAACCAATGGTGAAAAAACTTGAAATCACTGGATGTGATTTTGTCTTTGCCTACACATGCTAGTTCTCACTTTTATCTCCCTACAACCTTGTTTGTCCCAAAACTTACTGTTAATTTAATATTTGCAAGATAGTTGGTTGATGATGGTATTGTTTCTTTTTCTTCTAATGGTTATTTAATCTAAGACCGACAACTGGGACAGTAAAGGGGAAGGGCTATAAGCCAGGCAGACTATTTTCTTTGTAATGGTTGTTTGTCTTTTAAAGCTACTACTTTTGTTAATGTTAGCAAGTCTTGCATTACATGTTACTTGAGTAAGAGTCATATATTGTCATTTCCTACTGTTGTTGAACACTCTAATGCTCCTTTTGAGTTAATACATAGTGATATATTTGGTCATCTCCAAAAACTTTCTATATTGGGTTATATTTGTTGGCATATGTTTTCACAATATGGTTCAACTAACAGACAATTGATCTGTAGGTAAAAAACCATGCTCGTAGTTTTTAGACTTAGGTTGAGGATCATAAATTGCTGACCTTAGTAATTAATTTTTGAAATGAATAGAATGAGAATGAGCAACTTGGGGCACAATTATTTTCTATGTTACAAGTAACCTCAATTTTGCTGGCATAGGCCTATTTTGGTTCTAAAAGCAACGAGGCTTATGGAAAGAATATTGTAACCAAAATGCTCTCATGTTATTCATTCTTTTTCATTATTGCCCCAAAATGAGCAAGAATTGAAAAAATAAGGCCCTTGGTAGCAAACCAAACATGACCTAACTAATTAATTAGGGCAATAATATTTCACATTCCACATTGGTTATGATGTTTAACCTCTTCAATTTAAGTTAACAGTGTAATAAGCTATTCTCATAGTTAATTATAAATAGATTAACTTAACTTAATTATGTTTGTTAATTTCACTGAAATAATTAAATAACTTGACCTAAATTAATTAATTTGTAAGTGAACAGAAAATAAAAATATTAGGTTATTAAATTAACACTATTCATTTACTGTAATTAACAACAATTTTCAGCTACTAAATCATCATTTTTCAGTTATATAACAGAAAATTTCTGTTAATATCTTTAAATATTCAATTTTTATTTCATAATGTTTATACGGTTATTAAATTAACTCTTTATTTGCTGTAAATTAACAGAAAATGAAAAATATAAAATATTCAGTTATTAATTGATTAAGTATTAACAATAACAATGAATATTTTTAGTTAACTAAAACAATTTTCGGTTATTAAATTACAAATAAATAAAATTATTCACTTTTTCATATTGCCAATTTGTCACAGACCCCGCAAACCTATCGCCCCTGATGAACTTGGTAAGTTGCTATATGAGATTGGATAGCAATGTCATTTTCCTTGGCCTTAATAAAATGTCATTTTCTTACTACTCACTTTTTGGAAAACGGTTTTTTTAGGAAGTAGCAATAGAAACTCGTTTTTGACTACATGCACACATAAAGAGAGACATTGGAAATGCAAAGAATCTTACCATTACCAAATGGGTTGCAGTTGAGATCCTGTAGGCCATATGATCCTCCCCAAGTGGTCCACTTTTACCAATATAACAAAGCGGTTGTTCAGCCCAACCTAGAAACCCTAGCTCTACCGTGCAGTTGAGGATAGGTGCTATCTTGGAATTGATGTCAATTCACTGGCGAGTATGAACATTATAAGTGAAGGTATTTATAATTTTAAATTGTTGTAGGTTTATAATTCCAATCAGAATTTTAAGGTGAAGTACAGTCTAAAATCCCTTTAACAAAAGATGATGAAATGGTGAAAGGCTCTTGGGATTTACAATGCT